TCTCCCCATGTAAGTATTCTCACACTTGCTTCTTATCAAACTGTCTGTACTGGGCTATCTTGATTATCACTTCAAAAGTTTTTTTCTCTCTTAGAGTTGGTAAGACAACTCCCACCTGTCTCTGTATGTGTATATATATCTCCTCAATATTATGTTCCATTCTATGCATCCGAAGAAGTAGGCTGTAGCCCACGAAAGCTTATGCTCAAATAAATTTGTTAGTCTCTAAGGTGCCACAGGTACTCCTGGGGGTTTTTTTGTGTTCACTGTTGAGAGTTGCAGCGCTCATGGTACAAAGTGTAATGAACTGGCGTCATTCTATGTTAAATATAGGAACAACTGAGTAAATTAACTTTAAATTTCCTGGCTTATGTTAGTTTGTTAGCAATGTCACACCAGCTCAATAGAATTTATTATTCAGTGAAATATTTACATATTTGTGTGAGGGGCATACGTAATCTTGTTGATTGAAGAAGGGCTGGGAAACAGGAAATCTGGGTTGTAAACCTGATTCTGACACTAGTTCGCTCTTTAACCTGGGGCACATCACTTAAACCTCTTTGTCTCTCACATTATCTGGGCTGGAACACCAGCTGGTGTAAATCCATGCTGATTTTCACCAACTGTAGGTTTGGCTCCCTTGTCTATAAAATGCTACCCACCTTTGTAAATAACTCTGAGGTATAGAAATCAAGTACAATATAACTGCAAAGTATTATGTTTTTACTACCAATAGAAAAAGCAGTATAAACTCTAACAAAAAGTAAGGTTTTAATACATCAGCTTTCTGCTAAAATATAATTTTTTATGGTCATAAAAATGCATAATAGATCAGCATGAGACGCACCTGTGAACCCTTCAATAAATCTCATGCTTGGATTCCCTTAGGAAAAAAATGCAGTGCTGTATGTGAAAAATACTATCTCTGTTTCCTTCCTCTCTGTTCTTTCAGCCCTCTATCATACTTGTACACTGTCAAAGGCAGTAGAAATGACTAAAAACATTCAAAACCAATATACACTTAGGGCCTGATCCAAACCCATTGCAATCCAAAGTCTTTCCATCAACTTCATTGGGCTTTGGATCAAGCCCTTCATGAACATTGTTCTCTGATGGTGGGAGGGAAAGTATTGTCACAACTTTCCCTTGTAAATTGTTAACAATCCTTTATTAAATTGCATGCAGGGTCAAAAAGGGGACAAGGGTGACACAGGATCCAAGGTAAGATCATATCAATTTCTTTCTAATTGAATTTCTACTGGGAATTTGATGTTTAATAAAGGGCCTTTCCATCTATACTACTATTGAAATAGGGTGAACCAGGACAGGATGGTGCCAGTATTGTTGGACCACCAGGGCCACCAGGACCACCAGGGCCAATCATAGCAGTACCACAGGTAAGTGTCTTTGTAAAGTGTTAAGAACTTTACTGTCCTTAAAATGTATCTGGAGTTACATGGCAGTGAAGAACAACTGGTGCTGGTGTTGATGTTCGGTTCATAGATACAGTCCTGAAAGGGAAAAGTCTGCAATAAATATCTACACCTAATCCCCCTCCACATACACACATTTGTCCAATCATAATTTTGGTCATGACCCAGGTGTCTCAAATCCAGCCTGTAGGATTACGGGAACAGCCACACTCCAGCCCTTCACCTCGCAGCCTGCTGACAATGGATTACCTGGGACCCAGGAAGCCCAGCTCCACTGTTAGGCTCTGCCCCAATGTCTGATTGGCAGAGTGCCAGAGCGGCTGACTGGCCCACTGGCCCTACTTAAGCCAGCAGCTGGAACAGGAAGCCATCTGAATAACTGAATTTCACCCTGCTTTGTACTGTATGCCTCCTGCGGCCTGCCTCCTGGCATCTTACTTGTGGCTCCTGATCTCCAGTTTGGCTCCTGCCTCTGAGCCTCTGGTATTCTGACCCGGCCTGACTCTGGTTCCCAACTCGTGGTTCTGATCTCTAGTTTGTCTCCTTCTTTTCACTTCCCACTATCCTGACCCAGCTGACTCCACTTCTGTCTTGTGACTGTGGACTCTGGCTCCGACTACTACGTCTGGCCACTCATGACCCTGCCATGACAAAAAGATGAAAAGGGGCAGTAAAATGAGTGAATGTTTGCTTCTCTTAGCATGTGCAGGTGACTCTGCAGAAGCCATGAAAAATGAAGAAAGATTAACTAGGGAATACAGAATAGAGGAAGTATAAAGTAATGGGGCCTCTGTAGGTATGTCTACACTGTATTTAGACACCGATGGCTGGCCCATGCCAGCTGACTTGGGCTCGTGGGAATCAGGCTAAGGGTGTGTTTAATTTTGATGTTGCTGTTAGGGCTTGGGCTGCTGCCCGAGCTCTGGGACCCTCACACCTCACAGGGTCCTGGAGCCTGGGCTCCCGCCAGAGCCTTAGTGTCTACACCACATAAACAGACCCTTAGCCTGAGCCCCACAAGTCTGAGTCAGCTGGCACAGGCCAGCCGCAGATGTCTTAACTGCAGTGTAGGCAGACCCTGTGACTCCAGCAATGCCTGGAATCAAACTGCAGTAGTGCCTAGACTCCACCATGCTTTCTACTAGGTGTACCATACAAACCAGAGAAATAGCACTTTTGCGGAATAGTATCAGCAAGTGTCAAAGAGCATGCTGGTGAAAGGTGGTACAGAGAGACGCACATCTTTTCACAACACACACATTTTCAGTGGGGTTTGCTTAGTGTATTTCAGGCTTCTAGGTTATAGATAATACTAGTAGAAAAAAAAGGAGCCTAGAAGTTTGGATGAACCAAATTGCAAACTGAATACAAAAGCCTGTGTAGTCAATTTGGTATGACATTGGGAATTGGAGAAGCTGTGAATGGCTACAGGAAACTTGTTCATGCAGGAGAGCCATGTAATTCCACCCTCTGAAGGATTTTGTTTGTTTGAGAGAAGTCAGGTGGTTAACTGCAGTCTGCCAAGGCTTGTAATCAGAGGTGAGAAATCTGCATGATAGGAGCTAGGCAATAACAAAGTCAGAAATCTAACTCAGACTTTACATTTTATATTGACTAAAGCAGTGAGGTTTCTGACAGTGATAACAATTGTGGTGGAAAGTAGGTCCCTAATGATGGTGACCACAGCCCCAAAGGAGTTTGGGTGGCTTCTTTGCAGTACGAGAATGAACATGTTATCTTGAAAGTGGCTCAAAAACCCTGGGTGAATGAAGGAATTAATACTCTGTGTTTCATCCAGTTTCTGCTTTAATTTTTGACAGCTTTTTTAATAGCCTTCAGGTAAAAGGATGATCTGATGGTATAGGCCCTGGACTGAGACTCAGGAGGTCTAAGGTCTCTTCCTAGCTCTGCCGCAGTGCTTCTGGGTGACCTTCTTAGGCAAGACGTTTAACATCTCTTGCCTTCGTTTGATAACCATGTCCACGTGAGATGGATATTTTGAGGCTCAGTTTGTTAATGTTTGTAAAGGATTATGAGCTCGTTGGGTGGAAGGCTCTTATGTGAGTGACGTGCCGAGCATCCCTGAAGCTGACACAGATGACGACGATGTTAGCATGCTGGAGGCCAAGCAGCTTCTCCACACACTTCACAATTGCCACACTCCACACGTTAATACGGTGATTAATTACTGCCGAGGAAATGTATTGTGTGTCCTCTCTATTGTCCAGGACTCCTGTATCAAAAACCTTAACTATACAGTACAGTAGTGTCGAGGGACCCCACTGTCAATTGGGGCTACATTATGCTAAGTGCTGTTCAGATACATATATACAAAAACCTAGCTTCTGCCCCAAAGACTTTGTAGTCTAGGAAAACAAATGACATACAAGGTGAGGGAGCGGGTTACAAATAAATGCATTCAACTATTTATGCATTTGCAACAAACTAGTATTATAAATAGACAAAGTAAATGCTGACTATCCCCATTTAGCTCTCAACCTATCCGCTGTTAGTTGGCTGGGGAGGGTTGGTTTTTTTTTGTTTTGTTTTGTTTTTTGAGGCATTGAAGGCACAGTGAGTTTGGAAGAGGTTGATTCTATAAGTTGATGTTGGCAAGAGACCAGGTGGGGCTTGATCTGAGAATAGCAGGTGTATTTATACAAGATGTATATATATTTGTATATATACATATATAATGTATATTTATACATTAACTTTGCTCTATAGAGGTTTTCTTAGCTAGAGAGTTCTAGCGCCCCTGTGCATTTTGCTATTTCAACCTCACAGGAAAACATCTTGAAGCATCAGTAGCACTGGACACACAGCAGACCTAAATGCAGGCAGACATGCCAGCACCATGCCACTTTCTGTCAGTCAGTTTGGCAATTTAAACCATGGTGCTAGAGCAACATCACAATAGTATTATTTTTCTATATTTTAAACTTTATTACTTGTGTAGTAGATAGATATTACTGGGTAGACAATAGCTGAAGGAAATTGGGCTCTGGTCTTGAAATTGATAATACACAAGCGCCATTCAGTTCAGTCACTGCAGTCTATCGGTTGCAGCAATGGGGCCTTAGGTTGTAATCAGTTCAGAGAAGGACCTGTGTGTGTTTGTGTAGTGCCCAGCACAATGGGGCCTCAAATTGTTGTGATTGGAGCCCAGGTGAGCTACTGCAACAGAAATGAATAATCATCTCCCAAAGAGAGTCTCAGTTATTCAGACATTCCTTTCTTCTGAATTCCTCCCAACATTCACACATTGTGACTCCAAAGCCCAATACAAATGGTTTTTTTTTTCTCCCAGTTTGTTGTAATTTGCTGATATGAAATGCTAAAATGTGAGAAGTAAATCATTTAGGCTATTCTGCTCTGTGAACTTTTATATTTTGGTCATTTTGAAGGGCCAGTAAGTCATACTTGTCCTTTGGTAGAACATTTACACCATTTGTCTTTTCAGTGTAAAACTATAATTGATGTTTTACTGAAATCCCCTCCTCCTCCCCGTAAAGTTCAGTAGAAACCAATAGGGGGGAAAGTGAACAGCAAACTGTCTTTTTCTGTCATTGATCCATCATATTTAATGTCCAAAAAACTAATGAGGAAGGAACTAAAGTAAATGTAAGTGATTTTTGCATTATGTTCTTTTAGCAATTCTGCCTCTAGCATTTTAATGTCCCATGGGATGAGCAACTTGAAGCTCCACACATAATGTACTTAAAATCTAAGAATCCATTAACCAGTAAAGCTAACGAATATTGTTGTTTCTTCAACATATTAGTAAAAAAAGAAAGTCTCATGTTTTAGGCAGCACTCAGGATATGATCTCACAAGGCTGACATGAAATGACAAGCGGTCTCATTGCTGCATTATCACTGGGAAAGTTGCTTGCAAAACAAACAAACAAACCAACCAAAAAAATAGGGCAAATGACTACACTTGGTGTGGGATGGAGAGACCAGGAACCTGCTATATGATAGGCATCTCTGTACTCTGTATTTTCATATAGCTATAGTATGCTTAAAACATGTGTGCTTGCCTGACACACATATAGTGTCTAATTGAGGCTACAGATCGTTTACACTATACACAAATTGTCTGGTCGAAAGCAGGTTGAAATCAATGGGAGTTTTTCCATTGACCTCAATAGTCTCTAGATCAGACCCAAAGTGAATGGTTAAATACTGAGTAATTCAAAAGGATTGTGTAACCTCAGGCTCCTGGAATTCTGCCACCAACTGAAGTTATGGCAGAACAAGTGCAACAGCAGAATGCTTTTATTACTGTAATTGAAGTAATTAGCACACATCTTGTGCCGTCTGGGGGGACACAGAGCCTGGAATACAGTGGAACCAATGTGATTCTGCTACACTGGGAGCCAGGCTACAGCAAGCTGCACAGGGGTCTGATGCTGCTCTCTTCAGGGGCAGAGTGCTGACACATGGACCTCAAATAGGTTTCCAGGTGCATAAAAACAAATTTCAGCTCCTAATTATTGGCACCCATCTTTGCACATATTGTGGTGTGTGAATTAAAAGGAGGCAGGGAGCAGCATCCATCAAAGAACAACATCCTTTAGGAGGCTGCATCACACCTGGAGGGAAGCGAATCTGGAGTGTGCCCAATTCATTGTATGTATTAGTGCTCAGTGGCTATAAATGTTCCCTGATGTGAAGGTCGAAGGACATTTTTCTTCTGCTATTCCTTTTCTGACAGGCCCTCTTGCAAACAGCAATTTTCAAAACACTGTGTCTGTAGCTGGTATAGCAAAGGTTGGTGGTTTGGAGTTCAAGTGCTGGTATTACACAGGATGTGTTTTACAACATACGCAATCTGAGTCTGGAGTGGATAGCGTTGCTTGCTTAGATGAAAGAATGATATACAAATCAGAAGACAAATTGGACAAGTTAAAGTCTGTGTGAAGACATCTGAGATCAAAGGAGGGATATGTTTTTTAAAGC